GCTGTTCTTCTGAACTTTCTATTCATCCAAGGATACTGAAAAAAATGTATCGTGGTTTTCACAAAAACATTTGATACATCCACTTTGACCCAGACAGAAAATTAATAACATTTACATTACAAAAATAAATTAAAATAGAAAATAATTGTTTTAAGTTTTAAGAATTTGACAGTTTTTACTGATTTTTGATCAAATAATGCAGCCTTGGTCAGCATAAGAGACTTCTTTCAAAAGCATTAAAAAAACCTTAATAAACCCACATTTTTGAATGATAATGCATTATAAATATATAGCGTTATGTTCATATCTCATTCTCTGTCCAAAAAGACCAGCCACATTAAGTCAACAATGCTTATTTGGGGTTCAGAAATGTGGCCCACCTACTAACAAAGATGATATATAAGGAGGAAATACTGCTATTCCAGTGTCTTTATGAATAAAATCTTAAAGGCACAGTAGCAAAAAAGGCCAGTTTAAATGGCCAAGGAGAACGAGACGAGAGAAAATGGTCACACCAACTACAAAAACAAATTCACATTTCAAACTGACTTCAGTGCAATTTTTAGTGTACCCAAATAAAGACAGTTTTCCATTCTAATTAAATAAATCTTCATAGTCAAATCAAGATAAAACCTGTATGAAGTATGATAAAAGTGTGTGATGTACCTGGCCATATCAAAAGCCTGTGAGAGGCAGCTGTCCAGGTTCAGGTAGTGTTTTATCATGCGGCGAGCTCCGTGCCGTTGCCAGTCCAGTACACTGTAGCTTATCTCATCAATAACATGAACCGGCACCACCGGGAATTCCTCTAGTACAGTCATGCCAGCTGCCAGACGGCGCAGCTCCCAGTTAGACTGAACAGCAATCAGGGTCGGACCGCGCCGCTCCTCCTGCACACACGATCAGGCACACAGCTGTTATTCATCTGCTCAACTGTGATGTCAACTTTATTATGCTTTAAATAAATTGAGACCGTACCTTGTAGTTGAGGAGAATGCGCTGCAGTGCGCGGTAGATGGCTTTGACGTCGTTTTCAGCACGCACTTCAAACAGATGTTTCTCAGGTGGCAGAAGCTCCTCTGTGGTCTTCTCCAGGAGTGCTGTGCGCTCTGCTCCATACAACGAGCTAAGGTTTGGCATCTGATTACTGCGTACCTACATTTGGTGTAAATTTCAGTAGGGTCAATTCTATCATCATCTTTGCACTGTGTATTCCTCTTAAAGTCTTGCATAATTAAGAAAAATAAAACAGAAAAAGTTCAAGTGCAATTATCATATAACAAAGGCCACGATTTAATCAAATAACCATGGTGCATGTTTCAGATTATCTTCTTTTACAGCAGCTCGGTTCGCAGTAAAGGCTGCTCCATACTCATCTGTGCATCTGTACTGAGTTTGGGTTGCTTATAATGTGCATTAGGCAACTCTATGGTTTAACGTTTGAAAATGAAGAAATTAAGTCAGCTGTAAATATTTGCTTTGTAAGTTTACAGTTACTGTAAAATAACTTTTCTTACTCATTTTTT